GCATGCCGCTGGCCCTCTTGGCCACCTGGGCACCCTGCTGGCTCCTATCCAGCCCCCTCTCAACCAACCCCCCCAGGACCTTTTCCGCCGGGCAGCTTTCCAGCCCCTCTGCCCCACACCTGGAGCGCTGCCTGGGATTGTGGTGACCCCAGGGCAGGACCCGGCCCTTGGCCTTGTTGACCCTCACCCAATTGGGCTGGGCCCGTGGATCCAGCCTGGCCAGGTCCCTCTGCAGAGCCCCCTCCCCCCAGCAGATCCACACTCCCACCCAGCTTGGTGTCATCACCTTCTGCCCAGCACTGGGACAGTGACTTCGATAAGCCCTTAGCATCCCAGGCCAGGGGAACGGAACAGACACAGCCTTGGACCAAACACCGAGCCCAGTTCCCACCTGAGCACACATGATGATGAGGTCTGTGTTTGTCCTCAGCCAGTCCAGGAACACCTTGACTGTGAGAAGCAGCCCTTCGTTGGTCACGATCTCTAGCTTCTCCTGAAGGGATCGCTCATTCCTGCAGGATTTGTTACTTGAAATGCTTTCCTCAGAGTCAGACACATCATCTGGAAAATGAAGGGAAAAGCAGGATGGCAGGCATTAAACTTATGAAGCCAAGCCCTACTGGTACGAGAACAGCAGTGGGTTGGTAAGGGATACATTGAACTTCTCAGTGCCTCCACACATCCTCACAAAACCAGTTCCCTGTCCTGTTGATAAGAGGGTATCACTATTGTATTTTCATCTTCGCTAGGAGAAGACTGCTAAAATCTCCCTGTGAAAGTCTGACAAATGCCTTCACCTCTGCAGCAGCCTCCGAGACGCTCACTAACAGAGCAGGGGGAAGCAGAAGGTGCCAGCACAAGGACCGTATCATTTACTGCAGAGAACAGAGCCAGCGATGACCATTTAGGTCAACGTGCACCAACCTTCGGGCTACGCAAGAGAAGAAAATGGTAGGGCTATTTTATGAGCCAGGGCCCAGGTGATTTTAAATATTGAATATGCTTTGCTATTTTGTAATTCTACAGACCTGAGGATCTCAAAGCCACCGCCAATGAAACTGCATGAGTGAGCAACCCGAGGTCAAGGTAGCGGCAAGCTGGGAATCAACGATGCATTTTGCTACGGTCCCTTATTTTAATTGCACAGTCATTTCTGCCTATTAGCACAGCAATTATCATTCAATAAACCCTCAGAATCAAAAGGGAGGAAGTAATTTATTCAGAAACCATCCCTGATAGAGTGTTAAGACCATTAAACGGCTCGAGTTTTAGAACAGCACAGCTGAGGCAAGGAGAGCTCAAAGCTAAAAAGCACATGGGGTTAATTCATTCAGCCTGGCTCATTCACCCTCTCATTTTCTACATCTATAAAAGTATCGTGGCCACACTATTCAAATACATTCCTGGAGCTGCAACATCTGTGTAACCCATTGAAGGAAAATGTTAAACAGACCAAAAATCGTTTGTTTCTTCCTTTCCCCCCATCTCTTTCAAGTGGCTGTGAAGCAATGCCGGGAGCCACTAAACATTAACATGATCTAATACTCCCCCTTCAAATCCTGGCCCAGGCAAAGCCGGAATCTTGCCAGTGCTGCAGGCCCATTTAATTTGGCAGCACAATGCAAAAATGTTTCCTTGCTCCAGGGAAGCTGGGAGGAATGACAAACAAGACTGAACAGGCCCATGTGGTTTTATCTGAAATACAAACAACTCCCTATAGTGCATCAGATCTCCCTTTCAAGCTGGTTTTTTCCCCCCAAACGTTACTCAGTTGTGTAAGTTAAACGGTAATAAGAGACATCGCAGCTCCACCTGCTGTGCATCTGCAGTTTAGTTCAACGCCGAGCTGTGCATCTGCACACAGAATCCCAGCCTGGCAGGGGCTGGAAGGGACCTTGGGAGCTCACCCAGTGCCACCCCCCTGCCCAAGCAGGCTCACCCAGAGCAGGGGGCACAGGACAGCAGCCAGGCGGGGGTTGAAGATCTCCAGAGAAGGAGACTCCACAGCCCCCCTGGGCAGCCTGGGTCAGGGCTCAGGCACCCTCACAGTCAACAAGTTCTTCCTCCCGTTCAACTGGAACCCCTTCTGCTTCAGTTTGTGCCCATGGCCCCTTGTCCTGGCGCTGGGCACCACTGGGAAGAGTCTGGCTCCAGTTTGGTTCAACCCCGAGCTGTGCATCTGCAGTTTGGTTCAGCCCTGAGCGCTCAGCGAGGCAGCAGAGGGTCACGGCAAGAGGTCCTCAACTCCTCTCGCGTGCACCTAGGTCACATCTTACAGACAAGCTCCTATGAGAGCTTTGCAGACTTGATAATCCGACATGTCCTGGAGAACTTCCTGGACTGCATCTGCACTGTCCATCAACAGAAGTGCTCGTAAGGGTCTGATTACGGAGATTTCACATGTGGAAAAGGGAAGATAATCCAAATTTTGTAATACCTGCTGGAATTATCCTCTGTATTATCAGATAACCCTGGCTGACTGCAGGTGTTTCCTTTGCTCAGTGCACATATTCCTGGATGTCAAGCCGTAACAGTAAAGCTTCACGAAACACCCAACCCAAGACCTGCCCAACACTTGGGCAACCTGCTCCTCCAAACCTGGCTGAAGGAGAACTTGCACCACAAGAAGGGGTGGATTTTAGCAAACAGACTGCTACGGCTTGCAGTTTTCTACGCAGAACTGCAACAACAAAGCTTTTGAACGAGGTCACCGATCCTTACCTTGCTCTGCCAAGCCGGGCTTCTCCAGATCCCCATTGACACATGGCTTGCTTTCTATTCCATCCTTCAAGACGGGCGGTTCACTGTTCGGTTTCAGAAGGATGTTGCTGAAAGTGGGAGCCAAGCGAAAGCAGCGTTTGGTCTGAAACAGCTGGGTGGACATGGCCTGGAGGTTACTGGCTATGCTCGCGTCATTAGTGCTCAGGGAAGCCGGCCCATTGACTGCTGGATCCGGAGCCTCAATTTTAGAGATGCTTGGGCTCTTGGAGTCCCCCAGCCCACTACCATCCACACAGTTTTTTAAGGCCTCTTTGGGCCCACTTTTGCCTCGGCCGCTCCCCTCCTCACCCGGCTCATCCTCCATGTCCTCCAAGTCGGACCGAGATTCTTGGCTGTTCATGTCAGAGTCCGTCTCCACATCAAAAGCCGCTTCTGCTTCCTCGTCACTCTTCTCCGAGCCACTTTCTGAGCCATCGCTGCCCTTTGTAGAGCCCTGGCTGGAGTCAGAGTCAAAGCCCTCGCTCAGGTCACTCTCATCCACCTTCTGGGGGTGGCGGCGGCGACGCAAACAGGAGAGGCGGGAGTATTTCTTGCTTTTCTTGCAGTCATTCTTCCGCTGTTCCTCGCTGGGCTGGTGATTGGCCAAGTCAGCTTCAGCTTCCTTCTCAATCGAGTTCAATGGCTCCCGCGGCTCCTGGTCATCTGCAGTCATTTAAAATGAGACCACAAGTTAAGAAAGCCCCGATGTGTCACACAAGCTGCTTGCCAGCCCTGAGCCTGGGGAACCAGTAGTGCAAATTTCAGCCATCACTTCTCTTGGTGTCTTTAACCAGAGAACAAGTAATGGCAACCCTAGAAGAATGATTCACTCTGTAAAAGGTGCCCGGAAAGACTCTGGAAGCCTGGATTCCTACAGCCCAAGCTGTGCTGTTCCGTTATCAGCCAGCCCCGGTGCTGAATGCTGCCAGACCAGCACAAAATACACAGTTGAATCTTAAATCTTTTCCCCAGCTTTCTACAGTCCGAGAGCCAAGTGACCACCAAGCAGGGCAAGGGCATGTGCCAGTCAGCTTGATTAAACCAGCCACTCCCCCCTGCAACTAGACTGAGCTGACCTAATCCTTTCCTTGACCAACATGCTCCCAGCCTTTCCGGCAGCCCTCCGTCACCCTGACAGCTTCAAATCCCATGCAGGGGAGGAATCATTCATCGTTCAGGAAAACTCCAGCCTTGCGTTCTGTGAAATCTCACAAATTGACCGTTTGCAGGGGAAAGATTCGGCAGTTTTATTCTCTGCTCAACAGGATCCCCCCAGAAACTAAAGATCTGGTTTTGTCTGAGCAGAGCATGGCTCTGCCCAGGTGTTTCACCTGAGATCATCTCCTCAGTGGAGGAGAAAAGACTCCAGCAAATAACAGCAAATAGAGAGACAGAAAATAAGGAGCACAGATGGGAGTAAACAGATGATGCACGAGCTGCCAAGAGATACAGAAAGATCACTCCTCACAACAAGGAAAGCAACATGTTCATCCTCTGATGATCCTGATGCTCACAGAGAGCGTCTAAGTGGAGACCACCTCAGCAGATTACCCATCTTTGGGGATTTCAGCCCAGCAGCCAAAGACCAAGATGTCTCCAACGCCACTCAGGCACTACACTACAAAACCCATGCCCAGGAAATTGAGGAAAGAAAAGTAAAAGCCAGCCCTAAGGGCAGGCAACTGGGGAAACCCAGCCTATATCGTCTCCGCTCTCTTACCTGTGCCATCACTCTGAAAGGCTGGGACTGGATTTTCCCCTTCTTCTAGCTCTGCCTGCAGGCGAATATTGACGTGATTTATCAGGTGAGAGAAGAGGGCCAGCGTGAACGCGATGGCTGCACTGTACTGCTTCGAACCTGCAACAAGACAGGGTAATGAGACCGACCACTAATCCAAAACATGAATGCCAACTACGACAACATCTTCAGCCTAACTGGACTGCTGAATGTTAATCACTACCTTTCCGAATGGCTGAATAAAGCACTGGTTACCTGCCCTCTTGAGGCTGTGAACGCTCATAAGGCAGATGATCACCATGCGGAAGATCAGGAGATCAGGAAGGAAGGAGTAGCCACTCTCATACTCTTCTTCATCTTCACTAGTTGAGCTCAGATTAGGAGGAGAGGGCAGGTAGAACAAGCACAGGTTGAAATCCTCCAGCACAGACTGGCAGAGAGATGTCAGCTCAGAATCCAGAGAGCTTAACGAGAAGAAAAAATAAACAATTATTATTCAAGACTCGAGCTCCTAGCAATGTCTGCATGGAAACTGAACCAAAACTGGCAGTTGGGCCATCCTTTAGCATTCGACAGGATGAAGCACCAGGCAACAACAGCGATGGGAAGCAAGTGAGATGAGTCAGATTATGCTTTCCTCTCCAAAGCTGCTAAAGATAAATGACAACCACAGCACCTCCCTGCAAAGAGATGGGTCACCAAAAAATACACGCCCTTTCCCTGGGAGCTCAGGCAGTAGCCATTCAGCTCCACAGGGCACTTCAACACTAAAGGTAGCAAAAGTTTGGGATCCACTGCTCAGTTAAAGGATTACATTGCAGCACACAAACCGGGGACTCGACTTTTCCTCCTCCCATGGCTCTAACTTCCAGCCCTATAGGAACACTCCAAAATCCTCTGTAGCCGTTAGCTACTTCAAAGGAAGCACCCATGGTATTCAGTATAACGGGTGATGGCAGTCTCCTAGTTACAAAATAAACCCATCTGCAAAGCATCTCGCAAATCCTTTTCAGGGGGGGGCAATGTGCTTGAGAAATTGAAGTAATTTCCGATTTTCTTAAGCGCTAAATATGTGTTAAGCAGATCTTAAATGAGCCTTGAAGTTCCACTCCGGTATAAGTCAATATTTGAAAGCTAATCCCATAGCAGGCTGCATTAGCAAGGGCACAGCCAGCAGGTTGAAGAAAATTATTATCCCTCTCCATTTGGCACTCCCGAGATGGCATCTGGAGAACGGCATCCAGTCTTTGGGACCCCAGTACAAAAAAAAAACCCCAACCAAACAAAAAGACACTGACAAACTGGACTTAGTCCAGCAAAGGACTGTCAAGGGGAATAGAGAACATGATGTACGAGAAGAGGCAAAGAGAATCAAGTTCGTTCAGCCTGAAAGAGGAAGGTTCGGGGGCCATAATCTTCTGTTTTCAGAAGTCAGGTGGCTATAGAAGACTGAGTAAGACTCTTCTCACTGGTGCGCAGCAAAAGGAAGGGAAGCAATGGGTACGAACTGCAGAAGACGAAAATGAGACAAGGAAAAAAAAAATCCACAGCGAAGGTGGTAAAACACTGGGAGGGGGACCAGAGAGGTGTGGAATCTCTGTCCTTAGAACCACTCAAAACTCAGCTGGACTGAGCAACCTCATCTGACTTCACATCTGAGTCTCCCTTCACAGTGGACCCTACTTTGGGGGAGGACTGGACCCCTAGAAGGCCCCTTCCAACCTAAACTATTCCATGATGAGTTTAACTGTATAAGCCCTTTAAAACACCTGCTCTAGTTCAAGCAGCAAGAGGTTAATTTACAATCACCTGAAAACCTCCCAGCAGAGACAGAGAAAATCCAAGGGATACAAAAAATAAAAGAAAAAAATAAAAAAAATAAATAAAAAAAATAAAAAAAATCACACAGCTGTACAAAGCTTTCCATTTATTCCAAGAACAGGTTATGCGATTTGTTTCTTTGAACAAGGTATTTGGTTACAGACTTCCAAATGCAACGCACAGCCCTGCACACACACAGACAGTGACTCTTTGCTGTCCCATCAGCCTAAATCCAGTGCTTGCCAGGAAAAAGCATTTGATGACTGAATGAGGCAAGAAACCACCAAAGGCATAGTATAGCAGAGACAAGCCGCGAGGCTCAGGAGTTCAACATTCACTCAGCTACTGGCTTGATTTAGCCGCAAAGTATTTAACTCTTTGGTATTTTGGCCTCCCTTGGAGGCCAGTCTCCACCCTCCCTCCAAGGTCAGAAGACTAAAGTCTTGGACCTTTTGGCAGAAAGCCTCAGCACAGGCACTGTTACCCAACTCTGAATACCCGCTACTGTGAGTTATCAATAGAAGATATAATCTGCCATAACCTTACCTGCTCTTTGGCTGCAAAAGACTCTGCAGGTACATAAAGCTCACCAGCAACCTCTTAATGTCTTTGCCTCTAAAAAGATCAAGAAGAAAACACTGTAAAGCCGGTACCCCATCAGAGAGATGGACAATAGATTAACAGAGCTCTATTAATAGGTAAATCAGGTCCCAGTTGAAAACTACATTCTGATGAAGCTGGAGAAAAAAAGGCAGCTGATACACTTCTAACTTTCACCAAGATATCTCAACCCTCGTGAACAGCCACCAGCTCCAGGGGGGAGTGAGAAAAATCTCTCACCTCAAACTCTACACCCAGCCAGCATTTCGCTTTTCTCCTGAAATTAGGACCTGAGAGATCAAGAATGGGATCTAGACCGGGCTTCTCAAGATGCTGGGAACAGTCACTACCTTGAATGGGCCGTCTAATCAGTTCCCACTTCCCAGAAAGACTCTACTCTCAACCCAGAGGGTGACACTGGTGGCCTGCAAACCTGCAGCCTGCACCCCTCTCCTTTTCTTTTCCCTCTTACCTTTTCTTGCTTGGAGACAACTTCCTGGTCTCACATTTCTTCAGCTGGTGATACATTTTGGCTGCTTTGTCATACAGCCGCTTCAGGTTCCCATAGGCACCTTCAAAGGACACTTCAGACTGGATACTTGAGGTACCAAAATAGAACACATCAAAAGTTACTTTGCCACAAGGTGGGTCACATTTTATGGCTTTAATTCACTGGAAAGTTATTCAGGCATCTAAGCACGAAGACAGGTACCCAGTGCTTTTGTTGGAACATGCTGGGCTACTTAACTCCCACCGATGTCTGCAAACCCCACTCCAAGCTGCACCACAGCTCCATCGCAGTGTTTACACACCTTTTCAAATTTGTGCCTTAAGGCCATGTTCAGCAAACTGAATTCCACCCACCTCACTCGGCACCTCCACTCCCCTTCAAACCTGGCTCTCTGGCACAGGCAGAGGGTCTCAGATGAAACCCTCGCCCTCCAAGTGCAGCCCTCCACAGGTATTTTTGTGATCAGCATGATGGGTTTGGTTTGACCAAGGCTCCTTCTTATTATCAGTCCTGCTCAAGGGTGAAATAAGCCCATCTCTCTTCCCCCCCCCTCCCCTGAAACTCATGCTCTGAGAACAGTCACAAGTCCAAAGTAAAGGAGAAAAGAATCTGGACACCAGCAACCACAGTGCACTGATTCGCTGTCCAGAAAGCCAAGACCCTCACGGACACTCACCAGCGTAAGTAGCAATAGGTGGCTTCCACATTGTAGTATTTGCTCCCTGCCAACGTCCCCAGCTGGTTAAAGGGCATGCCTGTCGTGAAAGAGAGGGGCAACAGAATTAACTTACAACCCCCTAAAAGCCCTGCTAGAAAGCTCCTTTCCCTCTCACTACATTTCCACACAGGAGGGAAGCCAGGAAGGAAGCAGTAGTAAAGTTGCAGTACAAAGGTCTGCACTACTCAATCCCTTTGCCACCCAGGTTTGGGGTTGGTTTTTTTTCTGTTTAATAGCGCTTTTAGATCCTCCCCACCTTCCTGTCGGTTATCTACATAAGAAAGCAGAGCAAATAACACCTCCTCCTCTGTATTAGTAATGCCATAGCTTTGACGCTGTATTCCTCTTGACATAGACATCACCTTACCAGCGTTTAGGAGTTTTGTTCCAGCTCATAAATTTCTGTCACTTATTGGTATTTGGGATCAGCCTAGCAAACAGCTCAGCAAGAACTCTACAGAGACAGCACAGGGAAAACGTTTTTCTGGAATCGAACACTTTTGAAGGTAAGACAGGCCCTCGACTCTTGCCACCATGTGTTCTCATAAGCACTCACTTCTGAAGGAGAAAGCAGCACGTGAGGGTTTTTTGCAGGGGTACAAAGAGGGAGGTGGCCAATAATACTCCGCTTCTGGCAACAGGCAGCTGGATCTTTCCTTAGCCAGCCAAGCACACCTTTACCACAATCGTGGAAGTCTGAGCTTCTCAGAGGTTATCAGGTGAGTAAATTGAGGTCACTGGCGAAGAGCACCTTGGCTTTAACTCCTCTCTTTGGCTTGCCAGCAAGAGAGAGATTCGCAAAGGAGGAAGTCATTTTAACCAGAAGATAAAACCACTCCTCTCTCAGCAGCAGGATGTAAACCTGACCAGCGTAGTATCACAGAGTATTGTTTTTAGGTTGCGGCAACATGATTTTAATGACTAAAAATTCACAGTAACTCACTCACCGATTTGTGGTGCAACAGAAAGGGCTTGATAGTAAAACCGCTCAGCCAGCAACTCCGTGTCCACACCTGCCAGTTCGTTCTGATAGCGAGCTGAAAGAAAACCACACGCCACACATCAGAAACCAGAAGGCAGTATCTTCTCTTCCCTTCTGCAGAGAAGCACAGCTTCCATGCAGAATAAAAATACCACAAAACTAGAAATACTGGCCAAATCAACAGATCCATCAAAGAACTGCTCTTGGCAAAACACAGAAACGTACAGGGTTTGCCAGGCCCGTCTGAAGCACTTTTGTTTTAACTGCGCTATGTGGCACATCACAACCCCTGCCGCTTCGAGCGGAGGGGATATCCCTCAGCACTTGTGGCAGCATGTAAGCAAGAGGAAGAAATTATTCTGCTCCGTGTGTGAAGTGCTGATTCATTTATCCTCAAAATAACTCAAGAGTTGCGCTCCGTTTTCCAGTACCTCAGACTATATTCTACCACAGCAGAGTGTGAAATCTAAAGCAAGACCTAATAAAATACCTGGCTGCGGATAGGACAAGGGGTAATGGTTTTAAACTAAACCAGGGTGGGTTTAGACTGGATCTAAGGAAGAAATTCTTTCCAGTGAGGGTGGTGAAACCCTGGCAGGGGTTGCCCCGAGAGGGGGTGGAGGCCCCATCCCTGGGACCATTCCAGGCCAGGTTGGCCGGGGCTGTGAGCAACCTGATGTGGTTCAAGGTGTCCCTGCTCCTGCGGGGGGGTTGGGCTGGGTGACCTCTAGGGGTCCCTTCCCACCCAAAACATTCTATGATTCTATGATAGACTGGACTTTATTCCGGTTTTGGGGGGGTTTTTTTGGACAACAGGAAGCATTTTGGAAACCTTAGGTGAGCACATTTCTCTCCCACCAGTCAGGTAAATCATTCTTACTACCCCCACAAGACGTCTATTTGCAATGCCATTTTTAGGCTGATTCACGCGCGATGATAATGCCAAACAGCTTTCAAGAGCTCGAAGGCTGCTGCGTGTCAAGCACATTTACCCGCGCCACACTTCAAATAGCTGTTTTTCACACAGTTACATGTTTTCACACTGCCTTCACTCCCACATGTTCACCATCAGGCAAGAAGCTGACACACTTACGACACGCTTCAGGAGGTCGTGACTGCGGGATAGACACATCTGCTATAAAAAGGCTGACACGCAGCCAGACACAACGACAGAGCCTGGGGCTTTGCAGTGGCCAACCACTCTGGATTAATAAACAATATTGCTTAACAAATCTGATTTTCAGTCCCACTTGGGTTGGGGAGAGTGGCTGCGTAAGGCAACCTTAAAGCAAGTCTGAACTGAGAAGTAGGCCCACATCGAGTTTCCTTCCCACTGTCCAAACAACATAAATAAAAGCAAAAGCTTCCTTTCTTACACAGCCACGGATACAGCTGTTTATCAACAGCAAACTCCTTATTTGCCTGCCCAAAAAATCTGCAGTT